CCCCTTTTTCCCCCCCTCACCCCCCAAAAATCCCCTCCCAAACATCCCAAAAATCCCAAAAAAAAAACCCCAAATTTTTTTTTGGGGGGAAAACCAAAAAAACCCCAAATCACCTGATCGTATTTCTCCAGCTCCGAGTGGAAAATCTGTCGGATCTGCGCCAGCTTGGCGCGATAATCCGAGTGCTCGATGCCGTGCTCGTGTGGACAACCCCCAATCCCAATTTTTCCAGGGATTTCTCCCACTTTTCCGGGCTCTTTTCCGGAATTTTCCGCGCCTTTTCCCGTTTTTTCCCGGTTTTTTCCGGCTCTTTCCGGCCCCGCCACGCCCTCGGCCAGCAGCATGTTGTCCAGGCGCATCAGCTGAGCGTCAGGGGGTTCCTCCTCGGGGAGGTTACGCACGCTCAGAGCTGGGAAAATGAGGGAAAAACAGGGAAAATCAGGAAAAACGAGGGGAAAAATTAAAAAAAAACCAAAAAACCCGGAGGGTTTGGTGTTTATGGGGAGGAAATTCGGGGTTTTCTTCGTTTTGGTGTCGGGGAGGGGGAAGAGGGAGGGATGAGGAGAAAGGGTTTGGAAACAAAATGGTGTTTTTAAAGTTAAATTGAAATTCAAAAGAAGAGTAAAAATTAAAATTTAAAGTTTAAAAATAAATAAAGAACGAATATAAATACAATTAATTAATCACGACTTTTAGTTAATCCCTTTTAGGAAAAGGAAAATAATCTGAATTTTTCCAGCTTTTGGAGGGAATTTCCTAAAGAAAAAAAAAATAAAAATAAAACTCCCAAATCTTGGAATTTTCCCGTAAAAACAACCCCAAAATTTTCCTTTTTCTCCCTTAAAAAAAACACCCAAAAAATTCAAGTTTCAGCCTAAAAGAATGAAAGAATCATAACTTTTATTGGAGAATCCGTGAGGGAAAATTGGGATAAAGCGGAATGGGAGGGAAAACGAGGAGAAAAAGTGGGATTTGAGGGAAAAAGTGGAATAAAAAGGAGAAATCCAAACCTGTTTTTTCCTTGATTTCACAGAGGACGCTGAAAAGGGCCGGCTTCATCCTGTGGCAGTTCAGGGCGTGCTTCCTGCAGAAAACATGGAAAAATCAGCCCCAAAATCCATGGGAAAAGCTCCAGAACGGGCTCACGCGGCGGGAAGGACAGGTGAGGAAAAATCCTGGAAAAAATGGGAAAATCCAGGGGGAAATGGGAATTTTGGAGGTTTTTTTTGGGGGTTTAACCTCGTTTTTTTTCTGGAAGGAAAATGGGCTGGGAATGGCCACAGTGTCCCCTCAATGTCCCCTCATTGTCCCCTCGGTGTCCCCCCGGTTTCCCCTCAGTGTCCCCTCGGTGTCCCCTCAATGTCCCCTTGATTCCCCCTCAGTGTCCCCTCAGTGTCCCTTCAATGTCCCCCCAGTTTCCCCTCAATGTACCCCCGGTTTCCCCTCAGTGTCCCTTCAATGTCCCCTCAGTGTCCCCTCAATGTCCCCTCGGTGTCCCCTCAGTATCCCCTCAATGTCCCCTCAGTTTCCCCTCAGTGTCCCCTTGATTCCCCCTCAGTGTCCTCTCAGTGTCCCCTCAGTTTCCCCTCAGTGTCCCCTCAATCTCCCCCCGGTTTCCCCTCAGTGTCCCTTCAATGTTCCCTCAGTTTCCCCTGAATTTCCCCTCGGTGTCCCCTCAGTGTCCCCCCAGTGTCCCCTCAGTGTCCCCTCAGTCTCCCCTCGATTCCACCTCAGTTTCCCCTCAGTGTCCCCTCAGTGTCCCCTCAATCTCCTCCCGATTCCCCCTCAATGTCCCCTCAGTGTCCCCTCAGTTTCCCCTCAATGTCCCCCAGGTGTCCCCTCAGTGTTCCCCCACTTTCCACTCAGTGTCCCCCCGGTGTCCCCTCA